CGTACTCCCGCCATTGCCAGGTCTACTTAAATGAACGTGAAATCCGTTGCCTCAAAGAGGCAGAAGGTCTCCCTTATGCTATGGCAGTTACTCATCTCCGCCTCCAAGGGAGACTACCCCGTGTTTCTTTATTCTCGTGTTTCCATACATCTCCCCCACTTCTGGGGTCCCATCTTCTGCAGCCTCCTCTGTTGTTACCACCTCCCATAGCCACTACGGCATCTAATCCTTTTGCTGTCCTTGGCTCCGACGTCCCGACTACAACTCAGTCTGTTCTCACATCTTCGCGTCCTTCCTCACAAGCCCCAGTATCGACAAGACCTCGTATGACACCTAATACCAATCGCCCCTCTACTCAGAAGTCCAAAAATCCACATTGCTCAAATCTTCTTTGCCCCTTCCTTCCCTTCTTCCACCTCCACACTTTACCTTTCCAGTCTCTGTACCTAGTTCTTCCCCTCTCTCTGGCTCTATTACAAGTGTGGAGATTCACCCTCCTCCTCGTACTATGCCTTCCACCCCCGTCCCCTCCCAAGTTTCTCCCTCTTCTGCCACCTCCCAGGTTTCTGCCTCTTCTATCCCCCCCCACACTTCATCTCCAGTCCCTTACACTCTTCCCTCCCCCTCTACTTTGGTACAGTCCATTACTGTCCCAATCTTTACTCACCCTCCTCCTTCTATCTCCAATATGGTCTCCATACATCTTTGAATTCAGAAACACTTGAAGCCATTTCAGAATATATTGCAGAGACTAAACCTTCAATGGACACGGATTCACTTCCTGTTCCTTCTCTTCCCTCTCCTCCATCTTCACAACCCCATTCTTCGCAAGGCTTCCGTTCCTTCGCTACTTGAACGTCTTCCAATGCACCACACGTTGACTTTTCTAACCCTCTAGTCCGTAGGTGCCTTTACCTACAGATTCCTGGTATTTCTTCATCGCCAATCATGGCCTATTTACAGTGGAATATCGCGGCCTCGGGTAATCGGGGTGGAGCTTCAGATGTTGCTTTCCAGGTTTTCCCCTGTTGGTGCTTGCTTACAAGAACCAAAATTACACTCGGCTGTTTTCCAACCTATCTCAGGCTATAATTTATTGTATTCTTCGGATCCTTTCTCAGATGGGACCTTTAATGAAAGTGCCCTTCTTCTACGCAATGATATTCCATACTGTCAACTATTTGTCCATACCTCGCTGCATTACACTGCAGCCCGTATCCTCTTGAATAAGTGGTTTACAATATGTTCTTTATATCTCTCTCCTTCTCGGGCATTTTCTATCCCAGACTTTGCCTTTCTTGTTTCATCCTTACCACCACCACCTTCTGTTACTTGGTGATTTTAATGCCCACCATTTCCTCTGGGGGGGTCTCATGTGACTCACGTGGCATCCAGTTGGAGGCTTTTCTCGCCTCTCACCCCCTCCATGTTTTAAATACGGGTACTCCCACCCATTTTGATCCTCGTACTCATACTCTCTCTTGCATCGATCTATCAGTCTGCTCTTCCTCCATGGCACTAGACTTCACCTGGTCTGTTCTACCAGACTTACATGACAGCGATCATTTTCCGATCATTCTTACTTCTCCTTCCTATTCACCACCTTTCCGTAGCCCTCGCTGGCAATTTGATCGGGCAAATTGGGATCTTTACTCACACCTCACTGCTTTTAGTGAGGTTCCTTCTTCATCCTCCATTGATGAGCTCCTACACATCTTCTCGACGTCAGTTTATACCGCAGCTTCTCATTCTATACCCCAAACCTCAGGCAGGCATTCTCAGAAGTGCGTGCCTTGGTCTCCTGCTTTTGCTCGTGCAGTACGTTTGTAACGTGCTGCATGGGGCAGGTACCGGTACAATAGAACCGCTGAGAGACTTCTTGATTTTAAGCAGAAGCATGCGATCGCTCGCCGTGTCATCCGTGAAGCTAAACGCACTTGTTGGCGAGACTATGTTTCCACCATCACCTCTGCTTCTTCTATGAGTGCAGTCTGGAAAAAAGTGAGGAAATTGAGTGGTAAATACTCTCCTGACCCGGCTCCTGTTCTACGGGTCGCTGGTGTTGATGTAGCAAACCCTCTCGACGTTGCCATTGAACTTGGCACACATCTTGTCCGTATTTCCCGAGGGCTCCATCTATGCCCTCGTTTCTTTCTCAAAGTCTGCCAGAGAGTTAGTACCCTTGGACTTTTCTTCTCTCAGAGAAGAACAGTGTAATGTGCCTTTTACACTTCAAGAACTGGAGCCAACGCTCTCAGCTTGCCGATCATCGGCAGCTGGGCCTGACGACATTCATATTCGTATGTTACAACATTTACATTCGGTCAGCCCTTGTAGTCCTCTTACACCTCTTCAATCTTATTTGGGCACAAGGAGTTCTTCTTCCCCAGCTGTGGAAATCTGCCATTGTTCTCTCCTTTCCGCAAACCGGGTACTACACGACATGATGCCCTCCCACTATCGCCCCATCGCTCTTACAGTACAGTTTGCAAGTGATGGAACGTCTCGTAAATCGACGTTTAATGTGGTATTTAGAGACACACAACAGTTTTCTCTCCGCTAGTCAATATGGCTTTCGTAAGGTCGTTCTAACCATAGACCCCTTACTACGCTTGGATACATATGTTCGTAATGCCTTTGCGAATAATCACTCAGTTATTGCCATATTTTTTGACCTTGAGAAGGCATATGACACAACTTGGAAGTATAATATTTTGGCCCAGGCCCATTCCTTAGGCCTCCGAGGCAATCTACCATCCTTCCTTAAGAACTTTTTAACTGACAGACATTTCCGTGTTCGAGTCAATAATGTTCTTTCCCCCGGACTTCGTCCAAGCTGAAGGTGTCCCTCAGGGATGTGTTCTAAGCACAACACTTTTTCTCCTTGCTATAAATGATTTGGCCTCTGTTCTTCCACCCAATATTTGGTCATCACTCTATGTTGATGACTTCGCTATTGCTTGTGCAGGCGCTGACTGTCATCTTATTGCAGTTTCTCTCCAGCATGCGGTCGACCGTGTTTCCACTTGGGCCACCACGCATGGGTTTTAAATTTTCAAGTACCAAAACTACCAATATTACTTTCACTAGACGCTCTGTTATCTCCGATCATCCTTTGTATCTCTATGGCTCCCGTATCCCTGAACGTGATACAGTCAGGTTTCTAGGCCTTCTCTTTGACCATCGGTTATCCTGGAAACCTCACATTACCTCTCTGAAGGCTACTTGTCACAGCCGGCTAAACCTTCTTAAAACCCTTGCTCATCTTTCTTGGGAGCTGATCGTCGAACTCTGCTTCGCCTACATTCAGCCCTCGTTTTATCGAAACTCGATTATGGTGACCAGATTTATTCCGCGGCCTCTCCTGCTACTCTCTCTAGCCTTAACTCTATCCATCACCAAGGATTACGTTTGTGCCTTGGTGCTCTTTTCGCTCTTCCCCTGTTGAGAGCCTCTATACAGAAGCGAATGTTCCATCCTTGTCTGATCGCCGTGATGCCCATTGCCTTCGCTACTATGTACGCTCTCACGATCTACACAATCCTTCCATTTATAGAATGGTCACCGATATTAGTAGACATTCTTTATTCGTTCGCCGCCCCTGTTTGCTCCGTCCCTTTTCTCTCCGCCTACATTCACTCTTGTCTTCCCTTCAGTTACCACCTTTATATGTTCATGTAGCATCTCACTTTTCCCTACCCCCCTGGGAAGTTCCAGCTGTTCGGGTCTGTTCTTTCTCACTCCCTTGCTCGAAAGCTCAACTGCCTACGGTGGCTTCCTGCTCTCTCTTTCTTGATCACTTCCACTCCCATTCTCATGCCACCGCTGTGTACACAGATGGCTCTAAGTCTTCAGACGGCGTCGGATTTGCAGCAGTGTTTCCGGACAGCGTCGTGCGGGGGGATTTACTATCTTCAGCTAGCATTTTTACTGCTGAACTGTATGCCATTCTTGCAGCACTTATTCGTATCGCATCTATGCCTGTGTCATCATTTGTAGTAGTCTCAGACTCCCTTAGTGCTCTACAGGCTATACGAAAATTTGATACATCTCATCCCCTAGTTCTCCGTATCCAACTTTGGCTACGCCGTATCTCTACCAAACATAAAGACATTGTTTTTTGTTGGGTCCCTGGTCATGTCGACGTACAGGGCAATGAACAGGCAGACACTGCTGCGCGGTCAGCAGTACATGACCTACCGATTTCCTATCGAGGTGTTCCATTTCTGGACTATTTTGCTGCAATAGCTACCCACCTTCGCACCCGTTGGCAACAACGTTGGTCAACTCTGCTCGGTAACAAACTTCATTCTATTAAACCGAGCATAGGTTACTGGCCGTCTTCTTGTCATCAGTGCCGAGGTTGGGAGACACTCTCTCCCGCCTTCGCATTGGCCACACTCGTCTTACTCATGGGTATCTCATGGAGAGGCACCCTGTTCCTCTCTGTGAGCAGTGTCAAGTTCCAGTATCGATTAGCCACATTCTGTTAGACTGCCCTCTCTATCAACGAGCACGCAGAATTTACCTCCAACGTCGTCTTCGTTCTACTACTCTCTCTTTACCTTCCCTTCTTGCTGATGGACCCTCCTTTAATCCTGACTCTCTCATTGACTTCTTGACAACGACTGATTTACTCCACAAACTCTGATGATACTTTTCGCACTCCCCTCAGCCCTTTCTAGTTCAGTCTCTTGCGGCCCTTTACCCATTCACCATCCACTACCCCGCTGTTATCCGTAACCTATTACTCATCCATCTCCCTTTTGCCACCTGATGCCCTCGCTTCCTTCCTGCCCTGCAGCGCTGTATAGTCCTTGTGGCTTAGCGCTTCTTTTTTTGATTATAATATTAATAATACAGTTGGGGAAGCTTGTTATGTTCCTGTTGGCACTGATCCCACAGCACTGCCTGTGGCACATTTGTACAATTTTTGTAACAGCATCAGTTGGCTTGTTGGTACTTTTAACAGCACCAGTTGGCTTGTTGGTATATTTCAGGCAGTAGCAGTAGCGCTAGGAGTCGGGGAAACAAACAAGTGATTTTCAGTGATGGCATCCGGCCTGGTGGTGACCTGACCGAGCTTGATGGGTCGGGGGAACTCCTTACCCCTTACCGCAGATCGGGACGGGTGACCAGGAGGGTGGATCGTCCCACCACCGGTTAGTCAACGTTTCCTGGTTTACAACTACCATAATATTTGTTTTGAGGGATACTCTGATTTACCCTAAATCTAGAGGACTTATGTGATTATACTGTATGTCATTAGTAGCAATTAGGATTTACTGTGGTGGTTAGTTGGAGGATACATTGTCTGGTTTGGTTGTCCGGGATTGGTGCACTGGTTATGGTAGCTGCTCACCCATCCTTAAGTCTGCTTGTGCTTGCTTTACCATTTTGCTCACCTTTCTTCCATCTCTTCACTAAATGTGGTATCTTGTATATCAACTTTCTTATTTCCATATAATAATTTTTTTAACCAATTAATAGCTTAAATATTAAAGCATTTGCAAAAAATATGGAGAAACTAGCATTATGTGAGTTTCCTGGTAATGTGGGGACCACACACTGTTGAATATGGACTTCATTGTGGGTAATAGGGCTTGTCTCATTAACATGCACTAAAGAGCATTGTGACTATAAATTTGTTTATAATATTGCACATCCTTCAGCATGCTTATGTACCGAGGTGCTTGTTCCTCTATGTCATTGCATATGTGTTGAAATAGGAGTAGAGCTATGCTTGGGTGTCCTGTCTTGTGTAATTTGTCGTTATTTTTATAGTTTGCGGTAGGTGTAGTGCGCACTGCCGTTTCTTGGACCCCATTCTTGTTATTTTCCACACTGTTTATGATGAAATATGTTTTATGTCTTTCTCGACATCCCTCCTCCCTCACAGCCTTCCCTTCCTCTCCCCACCTTTTCCCTTAATCCCCTCTCTACCTCTTCCTTAATCCCCTCTCCACCTCTTCCCTTAATCCCCTCTCCACCCTTCCTTCGATTTATTGTCATTTCCTCCCTTTTCTTTCTTACCTCTTCCTTCTTTTACCTTCTCTATCCTATTCCTTCTTCATTTCTTCCCTCATTTCCAAGTTTTTCATCATTTTCTCTTCCCACTTTTCCATCCTTCCTTCTTCCTGTTCCTTCCTTCACTTTCTCTCCAAATTTTCTCTCTCTTGCTGGCATGTTAAGAAATGGTGTATAAATTACCAAGAAAGACGAAAAGCATTACAGGTGTTCTTGTTCTTAAACAGGAGGAAAAGAGATGACAACATACAAGTTTTCGCAGTAGAAGTCACTTAAAAAAAGCGTTGCAGAAAGATGCTAGAAAGTAAATCTCCACAATACTGTAGTGTGGTAGATAGTTGAAGGAGACAAGTGTGTGTTACAGCTAATACTGTATCTGTACTTCAGAGGCTTCATGATGATGATGGAACACTACAAAGTTATGCTTCTGTCACTGCAAATACAGTAACACATGCAAATGGGTATCTCTATCACTTCTGGGGATTGCACTGACCAAGAGAGGTTTCAATTCACATTTAAAAATGTGTTTAACTGATTTTGATGTAAACTACACAGGTGAATAATTTTACCAAGACATAGCCATTGTGTCAGGAGCAAGGAGCTAGTAACTCCTCCTGTATAAATTACTTAATGTTAAAGAAAAATTATTAAAGCTCTCCTTCTGTTTTCGGGTTACCCTGCCTTAGTGGGAGATGGCCGGTGTGTAAAAAAAAACAAATAGCCATCATGGAGAAGTGATATCAGGAAAACTCAAGGATCAGTTTGCTTGTTGACTACTGCTGGATGGTGGTGTGTCACTGAAGAGGAGTGAAAGAACTTAAAAATTATGATTTAAATATGTATGACTATAAAAATTTCTGGTTTTGTTATGCTTAGTTTATAATGAATTTATATTGAGAAAGATTAGTTTTTGTCATCACATGCACCTTTCATAATAGATTCGTGGTCAGTCTATCAAAATTAGCTTAAAACAATCAATTTGGTTTCTGAACTGAATGAAAAGTTAATTTTGTTGGCTAATGTTGTTATTGCATTCATGGGGAAGCACTAAAGACATAGGGGTCATACATAGCTTGGAAAATGAGATAAACTGGTTTGATTTGAGAAAACGGAAGGTAGTGCCAGTTCCTCAGAACAAAGCCCTTTACCAGCATCAAGGCACTCCAACCCTCCCTTGAAGGAGATAATGTATTAATTAAACAATGGCAAAAAATAATCCTGTAGGTTTTAATACTGTAGAAATGAAGGTGAGTAAACTCATGGCAGTAGTGATGTGAATACAGCAGGTTCCTAATTTGAAATCACCAAAGTTTTAATGATCCACACTTGTGAATGATGTCCAAAAGACATAATGTTGAGAAATAACAGTTTTGTGAATGCTGATCTGTAATAATGAACATGTTTAACACAATTATCCTCTGTATTACACACAGTTTTATATAGGATAGTAATGTCAGGGTTACAAATGACATAGTCATAAATTAAATCACCAGGAATGCCACTTGTTTGTAAGTTAGAAAATCCTCCCCTTAACTTACAAAGAGGAGAAATTCAGAGTACTGTATACAACTTATTTAAGGCCTATATTGGAATATGCAGCACAGGTATAAAACCCACATCTGGATCAGCATGTCAAGAAATCAGAGAAAATGCATACAGTAGGTTTGCTTTTCACAACAAACCCACAATTTGGTAAGGAAACCTTAGATGACATGTTTTGATAATGATTCAGGATGAATTAAAACGTTGAAAATTTTCTCTTCAAATTGTGGATTAGTTGTGACATATTACAGCCATGATATTGTGACTTTTTAATTTTATGGAATAAGTGTTACATACTGTAAAAAAATACTGTATAATTTTATAGTTGTCTAGAAAAAGTAAATACCTTAAAATATGAGCTCAATAAGTTGGATGTACATAGGTATTCTATAAGAATTAAATAAATTCAAGATACAGTACTGCATATGCATACAAATAAAGAAGGCACAGGAAATCAAAAAAAAATGGAAAATTCCTTATAGGCAGGGAAAAGAATGGATAACCAAGAGAGAACATAAATCTAGGGGGTGGAAGGATGGAGGGGTAGGGATAGCTAATAGTTATGCTACGACTTGTTGGGGTTCGAGAAAAGTTTACACTTGTATATGTAATCATTATCTTTTAATGTTCAGCCCCAGCACTTAATAGCCATAGCAAATATTTAGTCTTTATTTTTGTATTAGCGTAGCTTGAAGCATGCTTTTCATTAGCTGCAGCTCCGTGTTGACACTTGTGTTTGTAATCCTGTGTGTGTTGCAGTGTTGCCATTATTGTTAGTGAGCAGCAGTGCTTGTAGCCTTTGTATTCTTTTGCGACTATGTTTGTTGTTTTGATGTATGGGGGAGGAGTGAGGATTGACTAGTATGAGGTAACTGGGAGTTCTAGGATTTACTAGTATGAGGTAAGTGGGAGTTCTAGGATTTACTGGTATGTATGAGGTAACTGGGAGTTCTAGGATTTACTAGTATGAGGTACTTAGGATTTCTGTGCAGCATTCAGAATATTGCATTTTGACAGTGACATCTTCCTGTGTGAGGAAGTGGAGGAATGATACTTTTTTTTGTGTGTGTTGCAGATCACCTCCAGGAAGCAGTAGTTATCACTCTTTTGACTAGAATTGCCCAAACCATTTTAATGTTGTGTTATTTTGAAATGTGCATACAACATTTTGTTGAATTGTGTAGCATTTGTATGGCAAACTATGGAGAGCATTCCCTGTGGCACATTGGTGGAACCAAGTAGATCAAACACAAGTATAGGTGTTTTAGTTCCTTATTCTTTATTTTGAATGAATTTCTTATATTTTGTTGGTGTTTATGGAGGTTACTGGCTGGTCAGTTTAACCTATGGAAGAAGTGCCATGCCTTTCTTTGTTTATTATGTCAGCCCTGTGAAGATCTGTATATAGCTTCTTATCAAAGATTGCAGTCTTACATTTTCTTTAATTGCTGGCAAACCCTGCTGAATATTGAGGGTCAGTTTCAACAAATGGGAACATTATGGAGGCAGCATTTAGCAAACTAAAATGTTATGGTAGTAGTGTTTAGCAAACTGGAACATGGAAGCAACGTCCAGCAAATAGGAGCATTTAATGAGCATTGCTTTTGAAAAGGAATCATTATATGGAAGCAACATTCACCAGAGTACAGTATTAGATTTATGAGGGAAAAGTGGTTCATGAATCAAAATATTTGACCCTGAATTTACATACAAACATGCTATAGTAATAAAGTCAATGGTACTTGATAAAGAGCCATCTTTACGCATTACTACTATGACTCTAATTGCGGAGTCTGTCCCCGCCCATGGTATGGTTTTTTTTTTTTTACACATATTACTGTAAATAGATGATTGTCCTTCAATTATGGCAAAGGGAATATTAGTGAATAGGGTGTCTTGGCTCGAGAGGTAAACAGGGTACATGCTGAAGAATTCCAATGCATCAAACACTGTTAGCTCGTCACCATCTTCTGATTTTTTTTTTATTGTTAAATTCTGATGATGGGATACCACAAGCTTACGATAACTTTGTGCCTGTAACTGTAAATTGGTAATTACAAATAGATAATTGTCAGCAGAGGCTAACCTTGCTCCTATAATTCTCAAGATGAAACAATTTAGTTACAGTATATTTAGTAGAGTATTTTGTTTCATTAATTAAGATTGTATACATGAGAGATTGTTGAGAAAAGATCAACTTTGTATGAAAACATGAGTGAGATAGGAGAGATCAGATGAGAAACTAGGAGTGATTCAGAGGTTCTTAGTAAGAAAGTTGCTAGAACTTCCTGTATATGTCAGCAACAGTAATATTGAAAAAGTGTGGTAAATAAGTGTTCGTCGGTAACAAGGGAAGGTAAAGGGGACAGGTGAGTAAGATGGTTATACTCTACTCAGGGAAGGGTACAGGAACAAAGGGATGGATGTGCATGAACAGTATAATGAGGAAATGTAAGATTAATGAGGAATAAGATATTGATGGAGTGTGAAGATGGTTTGATAAAGGCAGATTACTGTTAATATTATGTTCATGGGAAAGTGCTAAACCTACTGGGGTCATCATTTTGTTGTTGAAATTGGATACATTGGTAGTGTGCTATGCAGCACCTGGGGATTATGAGGTTGGCAGGTTTGAGTCAGGGAAGAAGAGGGTGGCTCTTAATTTCTTGGATCAAGAATCCTTCACCAGTATTAAGGCATCCTCTTTGAAGGGTAGTAGAGGCAGAGAATGATCCCCCCCCTCCCCCCAAAAAATAGCACAGAAAGATTGCGGCAGATAGTATTTGAACACAAAAATTTGTGATTGTTATGGAGCAGTCGAGATATCTAGGGCTATTTCTGTATGGAATTCTTTTATTGTTTAAAATAAGAAAAATGTACTATATATGTATAGTATAAAGTATAATTGTATATAGAAGTGCTGCAATATTTGTTCTAACCTGCCTACTGCAATTTAACCTAAAAGCTTCAGCATCATAATTCTGAAGAGAATTATTTTACATCTAACCAATGCTATAAAAGATTGAGCCTGTTGTAAGCTTTTTATTTATGCTAAATGAACGTTCTTTTAAATGTAAGCTATATTTTATTGTAGAGTGAAATAAATTTTAAGATAAGTTTGCTTTATTTTGTTTGTTTTAATGAATATTGTTACATATTGCTTCATGATTACTTTATGTATAGTGATTATTTTTATGTTGTATTTACAGCTATTGGCACTGATACAGTACTGTAGTTTGCTGTTTCAGAACCTCCCATGATGACTAGTATAATTCACCCAGGATGTTAGAGTATTGTTAGAACTTGCTTTATAACAAGGGCCAAAGAGTTGCACATAGCTTTCCAGCACAAAGGCACCCTGGGTAATTTGGGACATTCTGAGATTCACACTACAGTCGCTCTGATAAGAGAGACCTTTTAACGGTATAGTAATGGAGGTGCATTGCAGGCAGTGGTGTTGGCAGTAGTACAGGCGGGTTACTTCGCTCCCTCCCCCCTGACCGCTGCCTCATCCCCCCTGGGGCTGGCCTTCCCCCTGTGGTGGTTCAGGCCCCTACCACTGGAGGTGGGTGGGCCCCTCTTCTACTTTATCTTGTGCATGTCTGTGAGCATTGCTTTTTAAAGGGATACTAAGGCTTGCTGTTAGTCTACAAGAACTTTTGCTGATTTTATTTTTAGTTAGGTTAATATTTTGTTAATTTATTCAAGCTTATGAAAATGTCTGTTCATTTGTATAGGCAATATTAGTTCATTATGTGAATAATATTATATTTATTTATTCGTACTATATATGTGTGTGCTTATAATTTGCATATGTATCTATGCTGGTATCGTTAATTTGATGTGTTTTAGTGCCATATTACTGTACTGTTCATTATAATTACTAGATCAAGTGGCACACTAGAGGGCTGTTGATCCAAGGAACTAGAGCTACCCTCCCCTATCTTGGATCAACTCTGAGTACCTCCCATTCTCCAGGAGCTGTATGGCTCCTTCAGTTTAGCATTTTCCCATGAATATACACTATTAATATGTGCAAAACAATATAAGTTTTTTGTAATATTTTAATATGCTAGTGTGCTATAAAACCTTGCAACAGACATTGTGGACCAGTGGTACCAAAAAGATGTGAATGTGGTCTTCTGTTGAATATTCAGTACTTTGAGTGGTATTTACAGAGGTGAGCTTTTGAATACTAGCTGCCTGAGTAGATAGAGTACCTGCAGATATATTGTTGGTGTTGTTCATGGTAAATTGTGCTACTTTCTGTGTGATAGGTACTGTAAGTGATAAGAACACTAAAAGATGTAATTGCAAACTGCATTCAGTCATTTTCAATTACCCCTTTTAGTGTCTTCCGTCACCTACAATTCATTGGTGTTCCCATACCATCTAGTTTTACAGTGGGATATATTTCTGAACAGTCTGCTATGTTGGTGGTTGCATGAGCACCTCTGCAAAGCTTTTTACTTTATTTCTACCAACTATTTCCATCAAAGTAGGGTAGCCCAAGGGAGGATAAGCATGAACCATCATTCACTGAATATCTTTTTTCATAGGCAGCAGAGGCTGTGAGCTGGCTAGTGGGTGAAAAAGGCAAATGAAACAGTTCATGCTGTTTTGCATCCCATGTCTGTCTTGATAGAAGTGTGCATACATCATAATTCAAATGACTCCCTGAACTGCCCCATCCCTTCCCATCTTTCAGAATGTAGGCACTATACATCTCTCTATTTGTTTGGTATTTAAAATTCCATTTCAGTGTGTATAATGTTGTTATAAGGCACCTAGATTTTGGAGAATTGCTTTTCATTGTGAGTTTAAATGTAAGATACTTCTAATTTTATAAATACTTTGTTTTTCAAAATTAACAGCAAAGTTTTATTATATTGAAGCATTATATAACCAGTCAAAAGTTCATTTTCACCCTTGTTTTCTCCCTGGAATCAAATCTGAATACTCTGCAACCTTCCTTCCTTATCTTTTTATCCTCATTAGAGGGGAATTTTTTTCCTCTCATGAAATCCTGCTCCTAGACAGAGAGAGATCACCTTTAGCCCTGTTCTAATGTAACTGTGGTGGTCATGTCTTTCCATCCAGTGGAAATTGCATCACACTAGGGCATGTGAGGTGACCCTTAGTGAGAGACATCAGGTGGCTATCTGACAAGGGCTCTGAATTCAGATGGAAGTATTACCAGAGATTACCTACAGATTTATTTGTTGCAACTGAAAGTGTATGACTCTGGTGTTCATTCCATTGTGTTGGCCACCATTTTTAGCTGAAAGTTGATTACGGTTAGTGCTCTTTTCTTATCAGGTGGTTTTACTAAGCTTAGCTCGATTAATTTGAGGCGCTACCCTGGTGTTGTACACCAGGTAGGGTATGAGGTGCTTTCCAAAGAACAATAACTGTTGTTCAGAGGGAATATGTGATTTCTCTTTGTTTATTGTTGGCATTGACCCCCCTCTCCTCTATTTTTTCTTTATGGTAAATGAGACATAACCTAATTCTCTAGGATTCCTAGTGATCATCATCATCATCATCATCATCATCATCATCATCATCATCATCATCATCATCATCATCATCATCATCATCATCATCATCATCATCATCATCATCATCATCATCATCATCATCATCATCATCATCATCATCATCATCATCATCATCATCATCTATCATCATTATCTCATCATCATTATCATATTCATCATTATCATATCATCATATCTATCATCATTATCATTCATCATATCATCATCATCATCATCATATCATCATCATAATCATCATCATCACATCATTATCTATCATCATTATCTATCATCATTATCTATCATCATTATCTATCATCATTATCTATCATCATTATCTATCATCATTATCTATCATCATTATCTATCATCATTATCTATCATCATCATATATCATCATCATATATCATCATATCATCATCATCATCATCTACTGAGCCCCCATGGGTTATGAACCTTCCTCAGAGCCTGGAACTGCTTTCTTGTAATCCATAGTTGTCCGAACCCTTTACTGGTATTCTACCTACCGTCTTTGGTACCTCTAACCCCAGCCTCACCTTAACCATAGAAGAGGTTGATCTTATGATGCAGCAGTGATTCATGGGTCATCCGTATGTCAATAGAGTGGCTTGATGCCATACGCCAAGAAACATTGATGTACAAATGACGATGCTAACCTAACATACAAAACTTAAGTCACACACTGATGAACATACCACTTGAAAGCCTGTTCCATTTAAGGAAATGTTCCAAACAAGATGATAGACCTGATTTTTTTTTTACTGCAAATGATTCTGAAACATATCTAAATGACTATGAACTCGCACTAGAACTCTTGATACAGTCAAGACTTTTACCTCCTCCCTCTAAAATGTGGGATGCATATATCAGAATTAATGATGCTGATCAGGCCAATAAATTAAAAGAGCTTCACACCACATTTCAGTCTGCCCTTAGTTTATTCCATGAAATAGTTGTCATCTCTCTCATGGTCATGAGACTTGTTTGTGAATAGAGAAAATACTTCAGTATAGATAAACTTATGTTCAGTAGGTCAATACCTAACAATGAGGGAACTCAACCCACACCACAGTGCCATAAAATATTGCAGATCACACAGTGTCCAGTGTGTGTGTAGAAAATGAATTATAAAGATGCAGCTTGTGACACCTCCTACCTGCCTTAACTACGAAGATGCTTGTCCCACATATTCTTATCGGTGCCTTCTTTTCCTTTTGGAAAGCAAAATCCGGTGTTTAAAAAAGAAGGCATATTTGTCACATAACCAGACTAACACAACTGCCTGCAGGAAAGAATACCTAGTACTGTACCTCCAATCCTCTTCAAGGGGGGCTCCTTGGCGTGGTGAAGAGGCTCTTGGTCTGAGGAATTAGACCTGTCGGTCTACTTCCTCAGACCGAACGTAATTACCCCCCAATCCCCCGTTCCCTATCCCATCCTCCCCATCCTCCCCTTTTTCCTTTCCTCCTCCTCCTCCCCACCCCTCCCTTTTGCCCTTCCTTTATGGCCTTTTTTTTTTTTTTTTTTTTTTCCCACAGGGACGCTAGTTCCTAGGTAGGGGAAAGGGTACCGGGGCCCATCCCATTCCGTTGAGGTTCTTGGCGGTGGCGTAGTTTGCCGTGGAATCTGGATTGCCTGGGGATGTCCTGATCCCTCTCCGGTATCCCGGAGGGTGGCTTCGGGTGTCTCTCGGGCGACGGGTGTATCTCTGGAAGCCACCTTTTGGATTCTGGGGGTGGTGGCCGAAGGAGGTATGCTTTGTGGCGGATATCCGGCCGCCCTCTCTTTTGTCCACCGAGGTAGCTCAGCAGATGTGAGGTTGCTATCCCGGATTTTAGTTTTACTTGAGATGGGTGGGTATGGCACGGGTTCCATGCTGCATCTGCGCTACTTGCGGTGCTGAGGTCCTCTTGGGTGCTGAGGTCCTTTTGGGCGCGGAGGGAGATTTCTGGCCCTTTCATTCCTCCTAGGAACTATCCCTCCCCAGTCCCCCCCTTTTTTATTTTTTTTTTTTATTTTTATTTTATTTTCTTTCTTTTTTTTTCTTAAAAACAAAAAGAAGAAGTAACCTAACCATGGGAGCCCTAGTCCATGACCCCGCTACAACCCGGGCCCCTTCTTGATAAACCCCACCCGTTCTGACCCCGCCTCGTCTTTGGACCACTCTTCGGACACTCCCATGCCTCTGTACCTCTTGCCGGTGCTGTTTCCTCACCTGCTTCAGGTTCTGAGGCCTCGACTGACTCCTTCGATTTATCTGACCTTTGCTCTCCTCTGACTAAGCTTCCGGCCTCTCCCCCTACAGTGCGGCAATTTTTGAACGCTGGCCCGTTCCACGTCGGACCAACTCTGGTCCCACGCCTAAACGACAATGACAATTACCTGCTGATGATACTTCTCCACCTTCTCGTTTCTTCTCAGAAAAGATCGACACGTCCTTCACTTCCTTTCCACCTCAGTTTCAGACTGCACAATGGCTAAATTCTTCACTTTACGGGCCCACTTCCCTCTACTGCCTAAACTTTCTGACCACAGTATTGGCAAGGCACTCCTGCGCCATGTTGGTAAAGATATTTCTTTTCATGCTCTTAAGAGCGGTACGTGCATCGTCACCGTACAGAATGCTACCCAGGCTCATGAGCTTTCTCGTCTTTCCCATATCGATACTGTTCCTGTAACTATTGAAAAGCATCATTCCCTCAATTCTTGTAGTGGAACCAACATTCTGCCCCATACCAAGTACAACAAAATTTCCCAGACATGTGCACTGACATTCATGAATTGCTGAAACTCCAAGATCTCCCAATCCTCAAGGTAGACACTGTACGTTCTTTTCTGCCCGCGGGTCGAGGACGATACCTCTAGCAATGTGGCTCGTTTATCTCTTGACAGCCGTGAACTCCCATCCTCAGTTATTAGCAGGGGCGAATCGGTTTACAAGTTCGAAGGTGGACCCTACACCGCAACAGTGTAGAAATTGCTTGGCGAATTTGGCCATCCAGCG